AAAAAGAAAAAGAAAAAGAAAAAGAAAAAGAAAAAGAAAAAGAAAAAGAAAAAGAAAAAAGAACCCAAACCTAAAGAATTTGCACAGGTGAAGTGCACGCTTCCAACAGAATGCGATAGGATCACCTTGTTAAATAATTACCACATCAGTGTTTAGACAAATGTCAGCTCCCTAAGTGTGTTTAATGTTACTGCTGACAGATAGCTAACTAAGATTTCTAAGTGTGCTACTGACAAAAAGACAGGAGATGAATGTATTTATGGAATTTTTAAAAAACTTTCTGTATTGTTGGTATCTTAAAAAAACCTGGATATGAATGACCTCATTAATGCAGCCAGAGTGTTGCAGAGCGCAATACCTCAAGACAGTAAAAATCAAAGATTCCAACAGTAGCTGTTAGAGATGACAATATTAAAAACAGATTCCATATAAATTTGCAATCCAGTCAATCACACCCAATCCTGCAAAGATGCTCCTCATTCAGACAGATGCCTCATGCAGATGGAGTCACCCATATAAAAGAGGCTGTAGGACCAGAGCTGAATTATTTGTAGTTTCAATATCACCATAAAATCTACTAACACAGAGTTCTCTGCCCCCACATGATCTTACCAACTGGAATGAAACTTGGTTTTAGCACGGCATGCATGATTTAGGAATTGTATCACTATAAAAACATATGACAAGTTAATCTGAGTGGCCACAAATAAGGGCTTGCATCAGGTAGTGATGCCAAATTAAAGAAAGGAACTCCTGCTTTTTTAAATGAAAAATACAATTGACCAAGTATTGTGAGAATACATTGGAAATTTGAAGTTTCATTTTGCCCTTTTAAAAACAAAAGGAAGAGCCATACCTGAGGTGTGATTTCAAGGGGGTGTCCAGCCTGGAATATTTCTGGTTCAGTTTATGGAAGTACTGAGAACCCAAAATATTCCACAAGCCTCTACAAGGCACTGTGTAATTTCCAAAGATCCAATGCACCTAATGCTGCACAGGACAAAAGAAATCCCTGGCTACCTTAAGGCTTTCCTGTTTCTTTGCAAGGTTGTAGCCACTCCAGCAAACAAATCCAGAAACCCCAATACTTTTTTTTCCTTTGCCTCTTGGTCTCTAAGTCTGTTTTGACAAGTTTTTTTTTGCAAGCTTTGGGCCCAAAGAAGATGGAAGAGGTCACTTCAGATAGACAAAATGATCCCCCTGGTAAGGGCAAACATTTGGCCTGCAGAATTAAGAGAATGAAGAACATTTGCCAAGATTTTCCTAAGAAAGAGCCACTCTGCTCTCCATCAGCACAGAAGAAAGGTTAGACCTCAGTGCCCTCAGTGCAGTCAGCCTCAATAAAATTAGCAGCTACTCAGTTTTCAGCTGATTAAGGCAGTGGCAGGATCTGGAATGAACATTCTTCTTTGCAGACCTCGGGTGATTGTTTTGGCCTCCTCACAAAGAAGGAAATTTAAAAGTTTTGAACTTATTTTATTCCCCTGCTGCTCACAGGTCTTCCCTGACTGGTTGTGCATAACCCAAAATAGCAAACAATACACTGGCAGCAATTATCCTTATTTTCCTCCACATCCAACTCCTCTGCAACAGATTTTGGGTTTTCTCTGTTCTCTGCTGTCGACATTGGGAAATCAGTACTGAGGTGCTGGGTGGAGGAAGAGTTTTGTAAGCACCTTTTTTGGGAATCAGAAATGAAGCTGGTTGCCAGCTTTCAGACAAGGAGGAAAAGGAAAGAAGTGGTTTGTGGGAGCCAAAAATTGTCAGAACAATGTGAAAAAGCATGTTACATCATATTTAGGACTTTTGCAGTCCTGTATGAGAATAGGGAGGAAGGCAGGTGGGAGGGGAGATGGGAAGGGGAAGCCATAAAATGGGATTTTATTCTGTGTTTCTCTCAGTGACTGACGTAGACAAAAAGAGAGATAACATATTTCTTTAGCCTCCACTGCCCTATTTTGTTCTCAGTTCTCACCACTGAAAGTTAGCCAAGTTATATCCTTTCTAAATAGTATCTGATGTGTGCACTTAAATAAAATAAATTAATAAAAAAGGAACAAAGGACAGTTCCAGACAGGGCCCAACTCTGGATAGTTCATTAGAAAACAGGCCAAGAGCCCAAATTTGTACCTAAAAACCCAACAAACACTGGCACCTCTGCTGATGTTGCCAAACCAAATCTTCTACTCAGCTGATAAAAACTTGTTGAACAGGTTTCTTCACACTTCCACAAAACAGTAGAAGATAAACAGAAATAAAACAAAAAAAAAAAAGGAGTGGAAACTCAAATCTACATTTTGTCACTAATGTCTGTCCCCCACAGGAAGTAAAGCAAATGAAAACACAACAAAAAACATTTTTAGAAAATCATTCTCATGTTATTGATGATGTGACCCAAGTTTTGAGCCAGGCCAATTTCCTGCTGTTCCATCTCCACCGCTGCCTATCTTTTGGCCTTGGGTCAGGGGGTCTCCAGGGTCTTTTGAACTGCATTTTATTTTGAGAAAGTTTGTTTTTCCCAGAAGAATCTTGAGGGGAATACTGAGATACAATAGCAAATCCCATCTGCCATGCTCAGATTTCTCAAAGTGCCTGGAGAGCTTAACCTTTCCTCTGCCTGTGTCAATGTAAAAGAGGAAGAGGGATGCAGAAGGAGAGAAATTTAAATTTCTAACCTACTCATTCCTAGTTTCCTGCTAAAAGGAAGAACTTAATTTCTATTTCATGTAACCCATGCTTTTAGCAAGCAGGATCCTTTTAAATAAAATTTTCACTAGGAAATTGTTACCTTCTTTGAATTTACCAATATAATCACAAACCAAATATTTCCTTAAAAAGAAAAATAAAAATCAAACACAGCATATAAAAAGGAAGGAAAAAAAATTAAAATAAAAAAGATTATTTGGCTAGGAGAGGTTTTTACCTAACTGGAGAAAATGCTTTTCTACAGAAGCCATTAATTTAAATGTTTGCCTTGAAATCAAGAGAGCAGCTCTTTCTAGAGTTACCAACTGGATTGTGCTTTATTCTGCTGATTAAAGATAGGTGGGTAATTGGAAGGGTTGAATTGAATTGCAATAGGTGGCTGCAGTAAAAGCTGAGATCTGACTAAAAAAATTAGAGAACACAAAATCTAGGGTTTTTGTCATTATTGGCCTCTGTGCAGATATTAGAAATAAGCAAGGAAAGCCCCAGCAAAGCAAATGCAAGCCTCTTGTCTCCACTGAGGGAGCAGGGCCCTTTCCATCTGCTTTTTGGGCTTTGTTGCTGCAGCAGGGTGGGGACAGCTTAGAAACTACAGAACCACAACCCAGAGAACACCTGAGCCACTGCTGACCTTGCCAGCCCAGTTCCTCCACTCAGCTGCCACAAGCAGGGACCCAGAGATGGTCCCTGATCTGCTGGGGCTCAGGCAAGCCCAGTTTTTCCTTGGAACTCACCCAAAAGCGTTCTCAGTTGGTTTGAGTTTGGAGGTGGGGAGCTCACGCTCTCCGTTCTGCGCCTTTTGCTCAGGAACGCCCTTCTTGCGATCCCACACACTTTTCATTTCCTCTTTGGGTGCTTTGCCTTTGTCATCTTTTAACTGCTCAGAAGATAGCACAAATCACAGAACAAAACACAAGACACACACACAAAAAAAAAAAAAAAATCAGAGTGAGGCATTCTAAATAACAGCAGAGAAACACGAATTTCTTGGCAACTGTCTTCAAATTGTTTACGTGCTATAGAGCAGAAGTGGTCTGCAAAGCTCTGAACTGTGATCAGCTATCACTTTGCTGTCCTGACCTGAATTCCAGGTCAAAGCATCCTGAAAATAATATTATCAGTTTTCTATAAAAGTTTGCTGTGGCCATGGGACTGTGCCACCAGACTGCTTCACTCTGCAGCTGCACCCCCACTCCTCACCACCACTGCAGCATCATTCACCTGTTGCTTCTTAAGATTTTGGGTTGCAAACTCTCTGGGACTTGCCAATACATTTTTGGTACCAGGTTTAGGGCATTGGTGCAATAAAAGTAACACTTAACCTCCAACAAATGTCAAGCTTGTTTGACAAAGTTCACTCTCAGTGTCACAGCAGTGGGCTACTTCATTATTGCAAGAACAATGGCCAAAACAAAAAATCATCTTTATGTCAGAGCAAAACTTACCCTGACAAAAATCACAGTCCTGCCTGGGGCTTGTCATGGGTAGCATTACAAGACATGAATATTTAAACCTATGAAGAAGGAAGTGCTCTGGAAAATACCAGTAAAAATTCCCTTTATCCTTAAAAAGTTTTGTCTTATGATTCTTAATAGTGATCAAGAATATTTTGTGGATAAATTTCATTCTCCAGTATTCCTTCAGAGTTATGAGCTTGAAGTATTTATCAATACCACAGATGGCCTGAGCCCAGCAAGCTGAGTCATGGCTAGATGCTGGTAAAAGGAGAAAGTGAATTGATTTAAGTTATGTATTCTCAGGTAGAAACATCCTCTGTTAGTTAAGACTGCCAGCCAAAACAAACTTTCAACAGCAGAAGATGAAACGTTAACTCCATAGTATTTATTTGCTTTCCCCAGCTCTGTGCTGAAGAAAGCTTCTAACTGGAAAGAAATACCTTCTGTGTAGAATTGAAATGCAGATCTTTAGAAAAAAAATAGTTTGGAAGCCTATTGCAATCTCATTAGCTAACTAGAAAGATAAAGAACTTCTGTAACAGCCCTGTCTGCAATACAGGTGCTCTTAAAGGTGGCTTAAGATGCACCTTGAAATAAAAAAGTAGAAGACAGCTTCACACCCCAAATGAAAAGAAATTCCTTTCTTCCTCACCAGAGAATGACTCCTGGAGAAGCAAAACCTTTACTGATGAGGAGTGGAAAAAAGTACTGATGAGAAGCAAAACCATTACTGAAGGATGAGTTCAGGGTCTTCAAAGCCCAGATCCTCCTCAGGCACTGGATGAGGTGCAGATGAAGCCCCAGAGTCAGTGCCTGACTTCACCTGAGGCCAGGCTGCTGCTCCGAGAGATGCGACGGACACCGCCGCGTTTTAGCTGAGCTCAGGATGGTTAAACCATTTCAGCAGATTTGCTGCTGCTGGGGGATGCTGGACACAACCAACAGAGGCATTTTCTCTGCTCTGAGAGCAGGCAGCAGCAGTGCAGACTTTTCCCACCCTCTCCTGCCAACAGGAGCTGGCAGCGGCTCCCTGCCGGACAAGAGGGGAGTTCAGCTTCCCTGGCCCTGCATTCCTTGGCCATGATGCTGCAACTGCTACAAGCCAGGCCACGACTGCCAGCGGCCTCAAGGAATGGTCTGCTGTTTTCTGGGCTGAGACAAGCAGGGATGTTCACTTATCCTGGTGAATGCCATCAGACAGTATCATCTTCTGGGCGTTGCCAGATGGGGGTGAGCTGCTGGTGGTGTTCACAGCGGGAATCTCTGCTGCCTGCTAAAAATCTCCCGACCCTTCAGCCCCAGTCTGGGTGATGCTGAAAGCAGAGGTGCTGATTGGCGCAAGGTTTCTTGTGCCAGGATGCCTGTCCTGGGATTTTGAGGGCATTAGGTTTCCTTTGCTGAGATTTTCATCAAGACCTTCCTAAGTCTTATTTAAAAAGCCAACACTTCCAGCTGCCTTATGTATTCAGGTCCACTGGGGAGGGTTGTATCTCTTACATCTTAATTGAAATCACTGAGAAAACTAATATTAAAACAATATAGTTTAAAAAGTAATAGGTTAGGAAATAGCATTTCAGAAGCCAGAAGGATTTATGATAATGTGTCTGCGTTTGAGAAAGCCATTAACACAGCTTGGCCTCTTTACTCAAAAAGATGGTAAAACAAGATATCACAGAAGCATTTCACATCTTTTGGGCTCAATCCTTCTCCTAATTTCAATACCAAAGCAGAGATCGATCAGCAAAGAAGCAGAAACCTTTGTATCTCATTCCAAAGGCAGGCAACAGATGAAGTTCTTTGCCTTGTCTCACTGCTTCCCTACATTACAGACTAATTCAGCTTCTGCTGAATTCAAAAAGGACTCCACTTGGAGCAGACCAGTGTTATCACCTGAACTGAAATAGTTCACATGTTCCCAAAAATCTTGATATCAATCTAGAACACGACCAAAGGCATGGTTAACAAATTTCCAGCTTTATGTATTGATATTTTTATCCCCTTCTATACTGCCTGTTTTCTGATAGATTTTTATGCTGTTATTTGAGAGCTGAGATTTCTAAATCTTGACTTTGAACACCTTCAGACTGAAGCAAATCAGTTATTGAGGCTGGAGGCCCATCTGGCAGATTTGATTCCTTACTTGGGCTCTGTTATTTGGTGAGTTAAAAGCTGTGGGCATCTGGGTCTAGGACTTCCCTGCAGAGTCATCTGCCATCCCCAAATACCATGAGAAAAGCAACTGCTGCAGCATGTCTAGCCAAACTGGAAGCAGGAAATACCAGGAGTCTCACATCATGAGAAAGCTTGTTCTTGTGAACTTCTCAGGTCACTTTCAAGAACCAAAAACTGTGCAGAAGTTCAGAAAAAGAGAGTTGGTTTTTTTTTAACCTTGCCAAATTAATCAAAACCTGAACTTTGTGGTCCAAAGCAAAAGCAAAACCTGATTATTTAGATACATTCTATTCCCTCATGGTCTTATTCATGAAACACTGGCATCCTCTTAGCTGCAGGCACATTCAGAAAGAGACTTCATTGAATTTGTATGTCCTGGAAATGAGGGGGGAGATGTGGAGATTGGAGCCTGATCTTGCCTGACCACCAATTTTTGTTCAGATGTAAAGAAACAACAACTGAGATTTTCAAGACATTTTGAATGCTCAGGATGGGTATTCAGCATTGCAGCAGAAGTGGGATTCTATTAAGTTGTCTCAGCTTCAGCATCCAAAGATGGAAACACTAAAATCACAAGTAACTTTTATAAGTCTTGCCAATTTCCTGGAATAATCTAGCCCAGTGGGTAGGTTTTAAAAGCATGATGAGAGCTCCAGGGAGAGCTGGCCGAGCTCTACATAAAAACAAGTGGGACAACTGTGTCTCAAGTTCCCCACAAATCAAAGTTTGTGGTCAGCTACAGACTCCTCTTTACATTTACTTGTAATATTCAAAGATTGCATGCAAAAGTGAATTGTGGAAATGGGTTCTGTCTTCTTAATATAATCCATCCCTTCTTTTTTTTTTTTTGTGCAGCTATTTCTTCACCACTCTCTAAGGGTGAGCTAAGCATCTACAGCATGTTCCAAACTCAAATGGGTCCAAACTTCCAAGGCTCTCAGCAGTCTCCCCTAACCAGGATCAGGGGTTGTTTTGAGACCTGATGCATTGAGCCAAAACTGCTGCACATCACTGAGCACTGCTCTGTGTCCAGCTGTCCCCTGAAGAGCAAATGGTCCCCAAATCTTATTTACTTACCATACAGTAAAACACCATGGCACCAGCTCCTGTGTTTACAGTGGAAATGCAATGCAGTACATTTGGTAGATTTTTCTCTTTAAAACAAAAGAAGAATCTTGGGTATGCACAGTTTTTATATCATGGGGTATTGCAGCTTGCGGGGGAATTATTAGTTAAGGCAGTCAGGTGGCCAAGAGGCCTAGATTATTATTATCATTATGATGATTATTATTAATTGATGATAATGATGATGATAATTGTTATTATTATAGCAGGTTTTTTTTCATAGGGAAAAAGTTCACAGTAAAGTGAGAGGAAACCAGGATGATTAGTTGATACTGTCCTGAAAAATTCATCCCTAGAGGGAAAACCATACTTGTGTTGTTGACTGAACTGAGTTTCCTGGAATATTTGTTTTAAGACAAACAGGAATTGGTCCTAAAGCCCCAAAAGAATAAACTACTTAAGAATTTACTTAATTTTAAGCACTTAAGGAGATTCATCCCTATTTATTTCAGCAGGATTACCCATATTCTTGAACTGGAGCACAAGCTTAAGTACTTTGCTGAAGAAGCAACTTTCACTTAAAGGTGCCTTATTTGCTTTCATATCTCAAGTTTCCCTATCACATCTAAATCAGTGGTTTATGAGTTACCTGATCTTTTATGGAGGTAGCTTGGAGCTTCTCTTCTGGCAGCTTTTCCTTTTTAGCTTCCACTTTTTCTTCCTCCTTTTTTTTTTTGGGTTTTCAATAATTTTTATTTTTAACACAAAAACACCGCACCTCTTTGCGCCTCTCGTTTCTCCGCGCTGTGCTCGCGTACCAATCCAGTGTGCAGCCACAACTCCATCATGTGCTGCTGTGCCCCCTCCACCCTCTCCAAATCCTCCCATTCCTCCCCACCTGGGTTTTTCTCCATGCTCACGTGTGCACAGAGCCCTTTCTCGCCATCGCCTTTAGTGCACAGCATTCCTCACACAGCTCCACAGGCGCTCGGAATATTTCCTGCCAAGGTGTGCCTGCCTCCACCTCATCTGTTACTGAGTCAGGCCAGTTTATAGCAGCTCAGGGGGGAAAAAGGCAGCAAAAGCACATGCAGAGGTCTGAACGTGCAAGGTTTTCTTGGATGGAGTGAGGTCAGGCCTGTGGTGCACTGAATTATTGGCAAGCGGGAGGGGATTGATTTTTAAAAAGAGAGAGCGACAGCACAAGTATTAGTAATTTCAGTACAGGACTAGATCTGTGAGGAAACTCCAATTCCATCTTTTCTTGCATTACATTTCACACAAACCACAGGTATCTTATTTTGGTGCAAAATGTTTACTGTACCTGCTTTTTTAAGAAAGCTGCTTGAGGTTTTTTGTCTTCTACTTTCTTCTCTTTTACCTGTTTATCTTCTATTTTCTGTTCTTCCATCTTTCGTTTTTGCTTTAATTTCTCTGCTTCTAGTTTAGCCTTTTCCTCAGCTGCCCTCTTTTCCTCTTCTGCCTTTGCCCTCTCCTCAGCTGCCCTCTTCTCCTCCTCTGCTTTCTGTTTTTCCTCAGCTGCCCTCCTCTCCTCTTCAGCTTTAGCCCTCTCTCTTTCCTCAGCTGCCCTCTTCTCCTCTTCTGCCTTAGCCCTCTCCTCAGCTGCCCTCTTTTCTTCCTCAGCTTTTTGTTTTTCCTCAGCTGCCCTCTTTTCTTCCTCAGCTTTTTGTTTTTCCTCAGCTGCCCTCTTTTCTTCCTCAGCTTTTTGTTTTTCCTCAGCTGCCCTCTTCTCTTCCTCTGCTTTTAACCTCTCCCTTTCCTCTGCTTCTTTCCTTTCTTCCTCAGCTTTTTCCTCATCCCTAAGCTTCTCTTTATCTACAGCATCAGTTACACTTTGTGTCCCTTCTGGCACAGCATTTGTATCATTCTCTGCTTTGTGCTCCTCTGCATTTACAGTTACTGCCTCTTCTTTATCTGTGGATTTTTCTGCTGTCACATCTACCTGATTTTCCTCTATGGGGAGCTCCTTTGGTTTCTCCTCCTGTACCTCCTCCTTGTCTTTTTCTTCTTTTTTTCCCTCTTCTTCCCCATCTTGCCTCCAGTTGTTCCTTTGGTACGATTTGGTAACTGTTTCCGTCTCCTCAATCTCACAGCGTCCTCGGCGCGTTTCAGCCTTCTCCTCTTTCCCCGTGGTCTCATTTTCTTCCACATTGTTTACTTCTCTCCTGCTGGGCAGTGACAAGCTCCCATCTGTGATCGTGGGGTCAAATTCCTTTTGGCGTTCCAGGGCTTCCTGCAGACGTTTCTGGCGTCTCTCCTCCCGTCTCGCCAGCCTCTCCAACAAAGCAGCTTCATCATCTGTAGAGCGCTTGCTTTCCTCTCCTGCCACGCTACGTAGAAGGGAAAGGTTTGCATTAAAAAAAAATAAAAAATAAAAAATTATTTCCAACAACAATATGCACTTCACTGTTTCGAGGAAAAAATCCTGCTGTAACATCATTCTCCGGCTGGGAAACACAACAGGCTACACAAACATGACAGGTTACACAAAAAATTCAAAATTCAGCTGCTGTTTTGCTAATCTATATCCATTCTCCTTGCCTGAAATAAATCACTTCCTGTGCTCAGCATCTACGAGCATTTGCCATCACAATTCTGCTTTCTTCTATCAATTGTGTTGTGGCCACTGGAAATCTGGGTGTATTATTTGTGGCCATGTGAAACTAAACTAAAGTGATGGACAGACAGGAAGGCCACTCATCTTGTGACAAGAGGGTGGTGACATGAGTGATGTGGTGTCATGGTTTAGGGGCTACAGGAGCACTGCTGGGTTGACTTGATGACCTTCAAGGTCTCTTCCAACTTTGATGACTCCATGATTTCAAGTGTCACCTCCTTCCATGAGCCTTTCTGCTCTTTATTCCTGGCCAGTGCTGGCTCTAGAGCTCACACCCAGCACCTTGCAGGCATTTTGCAGCCACAGCTTGAGGACTGGCTGCCACCCAGCTCTTTGGCCACACAACACCATGACCCCTGTGAGCAGAACCAAAGATGTGGTGTTTTGTGAGGCCTGAGAGGATCTGAGAGCCACCACGAGCCCCAGCTGAATCACCCCACAGACAGCCTTGAGGGCACCTGGATATGGCCCATGAGCATGGCCTCAAGCCCAGAGTCAGCCATGCTCCCATCCTACCATGGAGACACAGCCAGGGTGATCCCCAGTGTGAGGTCCTTCTTCATTTTAAGGATAGACAAACCCAATTGTCACTAAAGGATATGAAATGATTCACACAAACACTCTCAATGTCAGAACAAAAAATTGTCTTTTATTCTCTGACTCCAGTATTTATAGATTCTTGACAATGGCCAGGGATTGGATAATTAAATTACACCTTCCCAAGCACACTGGTCATGAGAAATGTCCATCAAAAGATGTTTCTTAGAAGGAATGTGATAAACAACTTATGCTTATAGGACTTTCATGGGAAAGTAACTAAAACTGTGAAAACATTATCAGGGCGACACCCAGTACTTCAAATTCAAGCACCAAAGCAAACCTCTTCCAGATACTTCTCTGCTCTGAACAAAAATTACCATTGGCTTGAACAGGAAACAGCATCAGACATTTACCTGTTTTGGGCATTAACCTCGGATTTCTCTGTTACTTCTCCTGAGAGATCTCCCTCTTCCTTTTGCCGCAGCCTCTCCTGCCGAGCCCGCCGGCGACGTTCTCTGGCGGCTTCTTCGTCATCGTCATCGTTTCTCTGGTAGGACAGCCTGCAACAGGGAAAGGGAAAAAAAGGTGTTATTGCATATTGGACACTGAAAAAAATACCAAAAAGCAGTTTGCTACAGCACAGTGTGGCTACAGTGCCTGCTCCATGTGCTGTAGTGAAAATACACTATCAAATTGAGATGCATAATTTCAAACCCCGGTTTTCTTTTGTTTCTCAGGAGCAAACTTGAGAAAATAGTTCCTGTGAAGGCAGCAGCCACACCACACCGTCAGCTGGCTCCTAGAAAACACCAAATCCATAAAAGCCCAGCTCTGTAGCTGAGCAAACATGCTCCTAGCCTGCTCCTGTAGGAGCACTCACCGCAGCGTTTGAGCAGCTCGGGCCCACGTAGCTGGAATTGGACTCAGCAGAGCAGCTTTTCATCAGCCTCCCCTAAATATCACACACTGAAAATGGTGAGAGCATTCTACAGCTCAAAGACTAGAAAGCAGGGAGACACAAGTATGACAGCAGCTCTCAGTGGTCGGTTCCGAGTGCCAAACATCTGACACCCACAAAATTTTTGTGAGCCCGGAGCCCTGCCAGGCCAAATCACACAAGATCGCTGCCGTGATGAAAGCCTACAGCTGAGAACCCATTGTACTCATCTAACCCAACAGATGATTACATTTAGCTTCATCCTACTTGAAAAGGACCTTAAAATCCTAATAATCCTGTGTCCCATTCAAATCTTTGCTGAGGTTATTACTGTGTGAGATAAAGGGAGAGGCCTGCATTCCTCTTATCTTTTTGAGCAGGGAAAGTGAATTTGGAAGCCAACATGTGCCAGATCCAGTCAGGACATTCATTTACTTTGCTTCTGGCAGTGGTTTGATACATCATGGTTAAGGAGTCTCTCTTCTTTACATAGTCACATATTTTAGTGGTGCAGCCATGAACAGAAAAAAAAACCAGAGTTCTTCACTGACTAAAACCAAGTACAGATAATGTTTGCCTTGCAAATATTTTAACATTAAAAGCAACTAAACCATTTTGATTTAGCCATCAATCAGACTCTTTGGGGCCAAACCTCTCCCATCACCGTGTTCTGACATTATTTTTCTCCTTTGCTGGAAGAAGGGTGAAAGCACAGGACCAGCAATCAGTTATCCCAATTTTACTTTAAGAATTTAAAGTGTAAAACATGGCTGAGACACTTGCCAGACCTAGAACAGCTTTTTCATCCTCAGTGCACCAAATAATTTAATTTTCTACTTTCATGCTCTGCTTCAAGAGCTTGCAACCTTTCCCTTTGTAGAAACAACTCTTCTCAAAGAGAGTGCAAACCATGAGTAGCATGGCCATGAGGGATCACAGTGAGGGATGAGGAAGAAAGGAAGGAGCTGAATTTAAAGCCCTAAAGGTGATGCAGGGAATCACCTGACATTTTTGAGCAACTCCAAGGGGTATCAACATTTTGTTTAGGTCTACAACAGAAAGGATATGAATACAATAATAAACCAGTGGGATCTTTAATTTCCACAAGAAAGAGCAGACCACATAAAGATGAAGTTCATTCTACTCTCTGTACCCACACAAAACACCCCTCCACAGAAAGGAGAACAACTGCTTTTAAAAGCCTCTTTAAAATGCCTTTTTTAAAGCACCAGTTGCTCAGCAAACTAAAAAAAGAAACCAAAAGAATACCCTAAGCAAAAAATTCCCACAAAATCTTATCCATTAAACAGATATGTACTTCCTGTCCTTGGACACTTATCACATAGATCATCTGTTAAGAAAGCTGAAAATGTCTTTTAATATGATTCTAAACTCATCCATTTCCTTCCTCCATATCAGTGCAGTTCCCTACAGGCAGTAAATACACCGGGTATGGGCTCCATCCATGAGAATCACCTTAAGTATTCATTTCTGTCCACCAGCATTCATGCAATCTGCCCAATAATCTGTAAATATACACATGGGAACAACATGGGATTAAACATGGGAACAACAAGTTGCAGTTTTTTTAAGGGATGCGTTTCTTGTTTTCCTTACAATTATGTTAACACTGCTTTCAGTGTAAAGAGTGACCCTCATTCTGCCACTGTTACAGATCTCTGTAGCAGCCCACCACAAGCAAAATCAACTTGGGAGCTCTTCAGAGCTTATCTTCCAATTGCCTACATCTTTTGACATTCTTCAGATTAGGAGTAAATAAATAATAAAAAGTATTTCTCCAAGATTTCAACTCATTTTATCAGACAGATGGAAATCTGATGATCCACGCTGGCCTGGGTTGCTTCTCCACCCTTGGAGAGCAGCCTTGCTGCCCAGCACACACCCAGCAGCTAAATGAAACCAAACTGACATCCATTTGTCACCTTTCACGTGGCTTTGCAGGCAAGCATCTCTCCACAATCAGCTGTTCCAGCTGTCTCAGGCACTGAGACCACAACACAGCATGATCTCAAAAGAGGTCATGGTAAAAAAAGGTATGCCAAGCCTGCTGATACAACTCTCTTGTGGAATATCTGACTATTCTGAGCTGGAAAGGACCCACGAGGATCATCGAGTGCCAACTCTCAAGGGCTGAAATCCCAGACCTGAAGAGCTCAACAACAAATCTCATTAGTATCTAAGTCTAAAAATGTTGCCCTCAGATTGAATGGGCGGGGGGGGACTTTGAGTGAAAAATAAATCTGCTGGATTTGGAACACAGGACATGTGGCCATTTGCTTCAGACCTTTCTCAGAGCAATCCAGCCCACTGTATTTTACACCAAACACTGAATTTATGCAAAGTTATAACCCAGCAAGGAACTTGGTAATAGCTGGGATGATTATGGGGCTGAAACCATTTCATACAATCCAGCTTTAACTGGTTTCCACTTGAAACCACAAATCAGCTCGAGCATTATCTAACGCACTTTGGGTTTGGAGTTCCTTGCCCAGTTCTACAACATTATTATTATTGTCTGAATTATGACAGTGCTGAAATTTCCTGATCAAGCTCATGGGCTTGCTTCAGTAGGCAATTTATGAAGACAGGGCAAGATCTGGTCCCCATTCTAAACAGTGTGTATTCTGATTAAACTTTATCATTTGTAGCACAATCTGCCCTCAGTGAGTCATAAATTAACCTGATGAATCCAATTTTTTTCATTTTTCACAGGAGTGGAAAAAACCTGCCTAATTTGAGCTGGATCACACTACTCCATTCTAGAAGAGGCAGGGAGAAAGAATTGCTGTGGATCTGAACTCAGACTCCATTTCAAGAGTGTCAGAAACCCGTGAAAAATTCCAAACAGAGAAAAAAGCCTTTAAGATTTTTAACTTAAGCAGGCAGCTCATATCTGCCTCTTCTTTCCTCTGTGGTTCACTCAAATGTCAATCTGGTTTTTAGGCCTGTAGAAACACCTTGCATTCTTAGCAGCACCCTCACAACGTGGACCCAACTAGACACAATTGCACCTATTCAGCTCTTTCCCACACTACTTTGATATCCTGAAGCTTTCGCATGTATTAAAGATTCATTTTGTCTGTGGTCCACCCCAAGAAATGAGATCATTCATCCTGTACCAAACTGCTGCACCTCCAGCTTGCAACCTAACCTTCTTCCAGGATCTCTGCCCTTTGTTAGGTGAGACCACAGCAGTTGAAGCGATTTCTGTTGATTTGTGTCTCCAAATTTACGTCAGAGGGAGGATGTCAGTAAAATGTCCTCAATGACAAATTTCACTGCCAGACTCAGTCTATAAAAGTTGAATTTGTTGGCTTTCTGTGCTCTTAGAAAGTCTATTTACCCAGGCTCTTCCTGAAAGGATGGGTGGGGTGAGGATGGGCTTTGTTAAAACACCCAGTGGGGAGCGTTCTTTGTGTCACTGTTGATATTCAGGCCCATTTTGTTTATGATTACATATGTCTTTAATCTTTTTATTGTTTGCTTAATTTGTGTTATGATAGGCACATAAAAACCTGAATATAAACAACTGATCAATCTTCACCTCCAAAAAAAAAAGAGCAAACCATAACAAGTACGGATGCTTCCACAGAGGGCTTTGCGTGTCAATCTCAGCTGTATTTCATTCAAGTAATATCTAAAAATGTGCTGAATGGTGGGGGGCAGTTGTGGGGAAAACTGTTTTTTCTAATCATTCACCCCATCATTCAGTGAGAGCTGCCAGCATTCTGCTCAGACCTGCTCAAGAAGACTCATTTTTATGGGGGAATGAGCAGAATTTCAGTCCAAAATGCTCATGCTTCAAAAAGATGTAGCGAGTGAAAACAGGGGATTATGCTGGAGACATGCAGACATGCCACCACAGTTCTCAGTCCAATGTTGTGCATGAATGCTGTTATTAACACCCATATTTTTCACATATTTCTCAATTTGACATGCACCGTGGTTTTTTTTTTCACATTGAATGTAGGAGAGACAAGTGGATAAAATTAACCAATGGCTGGAAATGAAAACAAATTAAAACTGGAAATCAAGCCCATGTTTTGAACAGTGGGGATAATTACATACACAAGAAATGATGGTACATCCGTCTCTTGCATCTCTGCATGAAGATGGATGCCTTTTTGGAAGTTATACTACAAAATAATACCACTTTTGGGGTTCATTGTATGGTGAAATTCCACTAACAGTTACGTGTGGGAAATTGGACCAGATTATATAGTGGCACCTGCTGGATTTAAACACTACAGCCTTCCATTTACAAACAGCACACATTTCTCATTTTGCTCACAACTTTTCTCTGTCTCATCAATATTTTTACTCTGTTTATCCATCCATTCTCCACAGGCACACAGCCTGTACTCCTGAGCAGGCAAATCACCCAGATGTGCACACAGTTCTCGGGCCAAAACAGAGACTGATGCACCTTTCAGTGTATTATGTTCTCATTCACTTCATTTTCATACTGTGTTTCCAATACACTTTCTTCTTTTTCATAGCTCCAAAGATTTCAGGGATTACTATTCTTTTCTGAAGGATAACCACTTTTCAAGTAAGTTTTCAGAAGAACATTGTCTCTGTCAGACCTGGCATCCTTAATTT